AGGGTGGTTTTTTATTTGTTTGTTTTAAGGGTATTTTTTTAATTTTTCCCTCTCCTTTCCATCTTGATGTCCATGTTTTTTCAAGTACCATGTTAGAGAGTGACTGATGGTAAAGATTTCTCAGGGAGAAATTAGTGAAAATACCATAGAATTACCCATGACCTTTCTACGTATAGAGAGACCACAATCCCTTTTGGGAAGGGATTTTTATTAATTTTTGAGGGAAAAATACTAAAAGTCCTGTCTTAAGGGCTGTATGTAAAACTGTATCATGTATATTATAATAGTGCAGGAAAGAGCTCAGTGAGTCTTGGTGGTGGATTGTTTCCTGTTCTACCATTCCTAAAATCTTCTTATCAGCAATAACATATCTTTTATGCCTGCTGTGTCTCCATTTAGAATTATGTAGCTAACTGGAACCCTCAATGTTTTTGAAGATTTTTGCTGCAATAGAATTTTTGAACACAGGGAGACATCAGGTCATGGGAGAAATTTATGTCCTCAAAGATCTATTCAGGATTATTCTGTGTATATATTCTGTGTATACAGAGTCTGTGCATGAAAATCCAGCATTTTTGTCATGGGAAAAATGTTCGGAATGCACTTTGCTTCATAAGGAAATTCTCAGTACAATTCATCAATCTCTTTTTACTCTTGGAAAGCAAATGTCTTTTGTGTTATATGGTGCAGGAGTTCATAAGCCAAAGAAAAGCAGAATCACCATGAAGGGGGATGTTCCAAGTCTTTGCAATCAGAGAAATGTTATTTAATGGAGAAAAAAAAGATCAAAGTTACTTGAATGTAAGAGCACAGTAAAAGAAGAATTGTAAATGGGCAGGAGTAGGGTCATGCTCAGGTAACAGAAAAGTTGCTGATTTATCACCTTCCTTTAATACTTCTACAAATGGAGAAACTTCCCAAATAATATTTTTCTTTTATTTAAAGTCTTATTTAAAGATTGCAGTTTAGGAAGGCACTGTTCTTAGACATATGGATTTACAAGTTGCTCTCAAAAACAAATCTGTAATTTTGTTGTCTCTTTCATGTTAGAATGGATTTAGACTCATAAGAGCTCAAGAAAGGATGGCAGTGGATAGAAAAATAAAGTTTTGGGGGTTTTGTTTACTCATAGTCCTACAGTTGAGAGATAAAGATTCTGATTCTTTTATGCATTTATTTTTCTTATGTGAAGAACTAATCAAATGCAAATAATACCAAAGGGCATTCCCTGAAAAGGGATCCACAATCATCCTCCATTCAGGTACTTCCTTTAGGAACAGAAAAGTAAAAATTATATAAAAGAGGAAAAGCAATTAACTGTTAAAATTAATATTTAGATAAGATCTGAATTGAAACAATCTAAAAAACTTCCATTGTGAAAGTTGGAAATTCAGAATTACAGGTATGAAATCTGGCCACTCTTGCCATTCCTGAAATTTATTGAAAAGCTGCTTTTAGCATTCCTCAGAAACAATATTCTAGGAAGTCTAGAGGTACAGGATCCAGCCCTTTTCCTGTTCATTTTACAGTAGTATTTCCTGGCAAAGAGCCAGTATCATTAGCTAATTTGCTGTAGTATTTCCATGCTCTGTGACCTCCAGGTTCAAATAACCTTCACAACAAATAGTTGCCCCTTCAAACAAAGTTCTATGCTAAAAAATATAAATATTTCACTAAGTCCTTGCTTTATCAAGTGTATATATAAGACAGAACTATAGATTTTAAGATATGGGTCAATGGAGCAAAAATGTTAATAATCAAACTGGAAAAAGCCTTCAAGATCAAATTCTCTGTAGCAAATTTTCATTAATGGTTCATGATTACACTCTGTTCTAATTTCCTTTAAGCTGCAAGGTTTTTCTATGGATTACAAGACAACAAATAGTGAGGAACTGCAGTGATCACTTTTTGGAATGACAGGAAATTAATTATCTGTTAAGTGGCTAAAGAGTTGGGAATATCTGGTGTTCTTCGTTTCTTTATGTCTTTACATTTCCCTTTATACCTAAATACCTCAAACTGAATTAATAGAGCTTTCCTAAGTTTCTCAACAATCAGAGAAAGATTTATTATTATTAATTTTTTTTTTTTAGTTTTTCCTTCAGTTAAGAAAATAATTCCTCAGCGCCGTAGTTTATCCGATTTCTGAAAGAAGATTGCAAGTGTATCTGGCCCTGTGTGGTTTCAAATTTGGATTTATTATTGCTTCCTTTGAAATCAAACATAATACAAAACCAATACATAACCCTTAATACTCATTACCCAATGTTGCCTAACTTCAATATACAAGTAGCTCAGTGAGATCTTCATCTAATCTCCAAAATCTTATTGGATCACTGCACTATTCATCCAGGTTTATTTGTTTTCCCTGCTTTCAGTAACAGAAAACTCTCTTTGGGTTGGGTGACAGCAGGGATAAACTCTTTATAAAGGTTCTTTCCTCTTTTACCCCTTGTATATAAAAGATAAAACTAAAAATTATTAAATTGGTTTAAATCTTTAAGATTTTAATAGACAGCTATGAATTATTGTAAATATCCATCATTCTAAGTTGGTAAATAATCTTCAGTATCAAAGTTTTCTTCAAGCTTTTCTGTCAATAAACTTTATTGTTAGAAATTAAAAGCCAAATTAAAGGAGACATTAGGAAATTTAAAAAATAGTATTTTCTCAGTAATATTCCAGAAACATCAGTAGCCCACAGCTATACCAGAAAGTTTCACAGATAAAAACCTAGCAGTGAGTTCTTCACTAAAATATTCACAGAACCAAGGGACAAAAGGCCCTAACTTGGCCTCTGTTCCAGGACAGTGAGTAGTTATTTTCAGAACAGGATATTGATTACATTGCCCAAAGGTCAGGTAATCCTTACTTCTTTCCTAAATCGACTGCAGAACTTCCTTATTCAAATTGGAAGCAATTTCATCTTTTTCTTGGGGTCTGATTGAGCACAAGGCTTTTAAAAGCATTTAAGGAATACTTAAGATGTTGGGAAAAAATACTCACAGACATAATTGCTTTCTATTTATCTAACATTGCTATAGGATTTTTAAAGGTAATTGGCTGTGGCACTGCTGGTTTCTGTAAATAAACAACTGAGGATGGAGATCTGGGCCATATAAACACAACAGAGGTATTTGGCAGGAAAACACACTTTCAGTTAAGCTGCAATGGATAAATCTTGTTTGACCTTCCTTGAGTCTCTGGTGGGTAGCTCTGAGTCACTGGGAGAATGAGGCTGGAATTTAATTTTGATTGACAAGTGGCCTCCCACTGAGGGAACCCTGCAAAGGGCTGAGGAAGGAACACCCCATGTGAGCCAGCTGGGTTGGCTTGTGGCAATGAGGACAACCAAAAAAAGCAGATTAGAGGGGTGCACAAGTGCTCCAGACACTCAGGTCAGGGTCCCAAAACATCCTGTGCCTGCTTCTGAGGAGCATTCAGACATTGAGGTTTTGCTGGAGCCACCAGGTGTCTGGCAGCAGGAGAGGATGGAGAAGGCCGAGTTCAGTTTGGAAGTTTGAAAACCCAGCAATTTCTCTCTCCCTCACATCCCCCTGAGTTCAGTTTGAAGGTTTCCAATCACAGCAGTTTGTCTGTCCATGCCTGCAGCAGGTGTAAAAGAGCAGAGGAGCCATGCTGACGTGGGTTTAGCGCGGGGGAAAAGGAGTTTATCTGCAGAAGTGAGTGTGCATTTCTCACTGGGGGGAAAAAACCTCGTGCCCACGTGGCTCACGTGATGTGGGGAACTTAATTTTGGCAGGGCAGCTTCCAGGAATTATCCACCTGCTGTCATTCCTTCCCTTTATGGAATGTGCTGAAGCAAGGGATCATATCCCAGGAGTTCCCTGTGAGCGTGTGAGTTCGTAACAGAAATTAATTCCTCTATTGCAAGACAGTTTGGACAGGAACAATGCTGATAATGCCTTTATTTTCTACTGGGTTTTAGGTGTTTTCTTACAATGTGAGATTTGATATAGCAAGGGATAATATTGGAGCAGTGGAGGATGTCTTGGAAGGGACTTTTCTCTTGTATTTCTTTGTGTGTAGGTTGGTTTGTCTGTTTGCAGCTTTGCTATTTTATTTTTGCTGAGGGAAAAAAATCCATCTCATTAAGGAGTTATGGAAGTCTCTGTGCTTTGCTTGACAGGTTTTCACACAGCAGCTTGAGCCCACCTAACTTAGTCTGTCTTTAACATAAATCATCCAAAGGGCTTCAGAAAGACATAAGCCATTGAAAATACACCAAGTGCTGTTGTCCCACCAAACTTCAAACATAGCAGCTGTCCTCTAGCTTTTTCTTTTTTCTCTTTTCTTTTCTTTTCTTTTCTTTTCTTTTCTTTTCTTTTCTTTTCTCTTGTTAATTCTTCTGTGGATGCAGTGACTTGACAAGTTTCAATATGGATTTTATTAATTTAGTTCATATTTTGGTTTTTAACAATTATTTCAATACCTATAGAAAAGTATTTGAATTTACACTTTGCACATCTTTTCCCCACTAAACTGCATAAAAAGAAAGGATGACCCATGATTGTCTATTGTCATTACATTCATTGGCCTTTCTTTTGTAAGAAACTGAAAAATGTTCTCTGTCCACCAGTTATTAATTTATTTAAGGGGATATTTATATTTAGCAGCAATTAATATACAGATTTCTTAGAGAAAAGAGAAATTAGGGACACTATTTATATACATACTAACATAAAAGTAGTTTATGTCATTAGTGGCCTTAATGGACATCCAGAACACAGAAGAAGTCAGAACTGACATTAATTCACCTCATTTCTGTGGAAACAGTGGGGGTTTTCCTGAATAATTCCAGGGAATGACTGACTTGAGTTTAAAGGTGGTCATTCATCTGTGGGCCCATCACATGAAGTGCCAGACCATAGAAGACATTTCCAGTGCAATTCACAGCAGCTAAAATTGCTCCTGTAACAATTTCCCAAGGGCAGGGCGGGCTGCCCGTGCTGCAGCCAAGGAAAGCACACCTCCAGGATTTGGTGGGATTCCATTTTGGTGGGATTCCATTTTAGTGGGATCCTTGCTGGCAAAAGGGGCTGTTTGCTTTCAGGAGGAGGTCACCTCTCCGTCGTGGTGAGCAGTCTGGGTTTCCCACAGCCTTGCTCAGAGCAGGTCCTGCAGCGATGCTGGTGTGGAGGATGAGGAGTAATCCAGCTGCGGGATTTCGTGTCCCTTGTGCTTTCAGAGGCAAAAGGGACAGGAAAAGCAGGGAGCAGTTAGAGCTGAGGTTATTTCTAGCACCAAAGTGCAACAAGCAATTGTCCTTCGAGAGATGAAGCTGCAATTCAGTGGCCTGTGTTTGCACAGTAACGTAACCATTGGAGTTCATTAGCACTTCTGAGGTAATTACACATTGCTAAATGCCCAGCTAGGGTTGTATCCCCCCTGAGGTTTTTTTGTTTTTTTGTAACTCAGTGGGAAATAGATTAATTTGATTTCCCAGCATTGGTGTTCATTGATTTTGGTGCAGCAATGGAAATTGCAGAAGTTCAGCAGTACTGAAGGTGTTGCTGCTGCTGTTTGATCTCTCCCCCAGTAACAGAGCTGGGAAGGATTGAAGAAGCTCTGACAGACAGCCCCAAGAACACACTGCTGTTTGTCAAACCTGGGGCTTCAACCTTTGTTATGATCAGCTTAAAGGAAGGAATCCTTCCCTGTGAGGGTGGGCACAGGTTCCCAGAGCAGCTGTGGCTGCCCCTGGATCCCTGGCAGTGCCCAAGGCCAGGCTGGACAGGGCTTGGAGCAGCCTGGGACAGTGGAAGCTGTCCCTGCCATGGGGCTGATTGAGCTTAAGGTCCCTTCCAGCCCCAACCATTCTATGATTTTGTGATTGAACAGGCCTCTCTAAACTAGAAATTAATTATTTGCCCTTCACAATTAATGCATAAGCAGGAACAAACCCTTTGGAGCTGGTGCCAGCTCGTGAAGCACACCCAGGGAAGCGAGCAGAGCAGTTTGTTGTTGGTTGTGCTTCTCCCCATGGGTAACTCTTGCTGGAATTTCTGGTTTAGTATCTCATCTTTCATAAACCTTGCAGCTATTTCACACTGCAGTGGTTTAACCCCAGCTGGGAATTAATGTTTATTAATTATTCTTCTCTGATCCAGCGAGGAATTTCATCCCAAATCCTCTAGACTGACAAGCAGGATCATTAAAACCTAATTTATTAAATGGACCTTTGAGATCTCTAAAGGAGAGCAAGGTGCCTGCACATCTTTGGGAATATGGCTTGCCCAGGATGTTCTTTTCAACCTCAAGCCTACTCCAGATATCCCACATGGAGATAATTCCCTTTGTGGGAGGAACAGGTCCCTCCAAGCGAGATCCTGATCCCACAAACTTGCTGATTTCAGCAATGCAGAGGTTCAGATTCATGTGGTGTCTCTTCTTGAAGTCAAGCACAAAGCAATTAAAGAGCTGAACATAAAGAATGTGCAGTTTTAGGAGGTGGAAAGAAGTTTAATTGCTTGAGCAAGGCCAAAATTTTATCCTAAATCCCTCTTCTTGAGCAGTTTGCATCATAAACCACTTGGGATGGTTTCCTCACTGCCACTGATAAAGGTTTAATCTGCTGGGAATCCAGGACATTTCTATAATATTTTTATTTGTCACTTTCTCTCTTCTAGACTAGGAATAAACACACTAAGAAGTCTGAGATAGCGAAAAAATGAAATTCAAAAATAAAAATCAAAGGAATAGAGAGTTTACCATCATCACTAAAGCTCACAAATTTAACGTGAAATTTTGCTTATAATAGGTCATTTATTCAGAGTTCTACACATGTATTGGCTTTCACTAAATGAATACTGATGTCAAAATTAATGCAAAGCATCTGCATGGATCTTTCCACAATGCAACCTCAATTTTCAATATCAGACCATTCACACACCAAGTTTATTTTCCTTGCCATAAATGACAGCTATTCCCTAAAATCACCAACAAAATTAAAGAAAATCATTTGCAAGATAAGATATTTAAAAGCAAGATTTCTTTACAAATCCACTGCACTGTGAGACAAGCTGGTGCATTTTCATTATTATCCTTTAGGGGAATGGTTTTAGTTTTTAATCAAAATCTTGGATTATTTTGTACTGATAAAAACTATGAGTCCCTGCCCCACTTTAGAGAACACAGCAGTTCTTCCAATGTGCTGTTGTTTGGTTTTTCCCTCCACCTTTAGCGTTATTATAAAAATAAATAGATTTCTAAATTTTTTTTTTAAGTCAACAAACCTATTTTCAGCCACTCCCCACACTTTTTATTATCTACCTCCTGTTGCCTTAGGCAACCTATTTTTGTATTCAGATTTAACATCATAATAGATCTTATCAAACTGTTTTCTTAAGGAACTTTCATGTGGCATCTGCTGGGCTGGAATGTCCAAAAAAAAAAGAAAAAACTTCTGCAAGAAGTGCCAACACTTATTCCACGCCTGCAGGGAATCTGTGTCTCTCTCTTTGGGGTGTTTTGGAACACAGCACCTGTGGATGCCATTTCCTGGGGTTTTGCTGTGTTCACTGTGCAGGTGAACCCTTAAATATCTTTTACTCCTTTAAAATGTCTCCCACTGCAGTTTCTTTCCTGCTAATCCCCTGGGATCTGATCCAGCTGTGCCACCATGCAGAAACCAAGTTTGACATCAGCTTTATCAAGACATTTGGAAAAGCTGTGGGCACAAAAGAAATTTGCTGCTAAAATATTTTAAGTAGGGAATTTTTACACAGCAAATGAAAATAACAGCATTAGGCCAAATTTTTCTTGTTTGGACAACATAACAGAGTATGTTTGGGTCCCTGGATCCAGAATTTGTGTAGTGTTTGTCAACATCATACAGGCTGGAAAAAAGCAATAAATTAGAGAGTGTGATATGGAAAGAAAGAGGCTTTAGCACATTTCCTAATATTAGAAAATATTGAATGTAAATCAGCTCTAGGCAGCTAAAGTAATATCAGAGGTAATAAATGTAATGAGTTGATGTCTGTTAAAGCCATCAAGGCTGCAGCCTTAAAAACACAGAGTGTAAAAATATTCACATTTCAGTCTTTCTTATTATATTCTGGGTGACATCATGATGTAGTGCATGGCAGCTGGATTAAGTGCTAATGGAACTTACTCCAAAACAGAGTCCAGCAATCTGCTTCTTCTTTAGTAAAGCTCACTCCAATCTATATTAAATCAATATAAATATTTGCAGGATGAGATTCCATCTGACAGAGAAAACAGAAAAGAAAGAGGAGGGAAAAGAGGACCATAACCTGAATTTAAAAATATAAAGAAAGTGATTCCCAGTAACACTTTGTGGAAAAGAAATAAAGGAGGAGCCATCCTATTGGAAAATTCTTTAACAAATTCTATGAATCGTCCATATTTTTAGGCCCATGCCTAATCAAGATGATTTTGTTTGTTTGTTTCAAATACCTTGTAAAGAATGATTTGCACCCACTGAAGTTTTCATTCATCAACAGTTACAATGTTCATGCCACACAACTTCTCATTTTCAATTGGCTCTTGTTCAATTCTGCATCAAAGTAAAATCCTGACAAAGAAAAAAGGAAAGGAAAACAATCTTGTCCTTAGACACAGAGATTAAATACAGTTGTGTGTTAGACAAGATGTTGCATTGGAGTTTTATTTCCTATTGAATTTCTTTCAAAAATGACCAAGTTAGGCCTCTGCCTTTACAGGGCCAGGTCCCTGCCCTCGTGGAACCACGTGAATTTATTTTACATGGATTTGAAATGCTGAATTAGTGTGGGTTCACAAAAGGATACAGAAACAAGTTTTTGCACCGGTTTTCCTTCACCTGGATTTCCAACAGGTCTGCATGAAATGCAGGGTTCAAAGCAAATTTCAATGATGCTTTCCAAATTTGGTTTGGGTGAGATCCAGAGCCATAAATCCTTCATCCTTTGTGGGGATGCTCTGCGAGGTGGGACACTCAGAACCCAGCCCAGCTCTTTGGAGAGCTCCTTTGAAGCAAGGCCAGCATTTAGGGCTGTAATTAAACCAGAATTGAGGCAGATTGAGGCAGAATTTGCATCCAGCTAAGAGCAGTTTGCAGGATCCTAGGAGGTGGTGTTGGGTCTTGCTGCTTCCTTCATTCCCAGTCTCCAGCAGGAGGAGGAATGAGGGAGGAAATCTCAGTGGCCTGATGCTCCCTGGTAAATGGAAATTGAAATGGAAATGCACTTTCTCCCAGGCATCTTTTGACTGAACTTTGTTCAGAACAAAGGTCTGACACAGAAACTGATGAAATGGTTGCATGTGTTTGTGGATTTAATAAGGAATATCAGAATAGAAGATAAAATCCTGGATGTAAATAAGACATTAAATTGCTTTCCTTCCTTATTCCCTATCCTTTTGACTCGTTGCTACAACAAAAATGCCTCTGTATTTTTCAAAGATATACTTTTGATTTCAGACCTCACCGTTGCCCAGCTCAGAATTAACATTTTCATTGCTCATGTACTGTGAGCACTTTTTTTCTCACGATTAATATTTCTTTTTTGTACAATTAGAGACAATGAAAAAAGGAGGGACTTTGTTCTGTGAAACTGTAGTGTGAAGTTCTGCCACTTGTTATGGAATTACTTTAACAAATAGGTGTTCTTTTTGGACTAGACCTTCCACTGACATAAATCATGTCAAGTATAATTCCATGTGCCATATTCTTATTCAGCAAATATTCTCTTTCCTTGCTTTAATTTCAGCACCAGGCGAGCATGCACGTACCTTTTTGCTGGATTTCATTTTAATTCTGCTCTAGCCAGTGGAAGTCAAAAGGTATCCAGTCACTTTTTCCAGGACACTGATCCACGTGCATGTTTTCTGTCTCAGCCTGTTTGAGATTTCCATCACCAGCAAGCTCCATGGCAACTCAGTATGGAAACAGATGTGAGGTCACACAGAACCTATGGAGTGAAACCTGAAGACAATGGAAAAAATTCTTTCTATACACTCTGGCAATTGGTGCAGCTTCATATGTAAAGTTCTAAAATAATTTCATGCAAAAGTTCACTGCAGTTAAATAGTTATTTATAGTTTCAGTCCAGCTTTTTTAGTGTGAAAAGATAATCCTTCAGACTAATTCTCATTAGTTTTCCCTTCTTTTTCCTCCCTCTGAGATCCTAAATTCATTTAAGAATCTTCTAAGTTAATTTAAGAATCTTCTTAGAGGGGCTTGTTTAGGAGAAGTGAAGAGTTGGCTCCAGCCAGTTGCCTTGCTTAAAAATAAAGGAGGAAATGTTTCAGAAGCAGTTCAGACTTATTGACTATCAAAGAGAAAACAGGCCTGAAATCACATAAAGCCCTTTTCTAAAGAAGCTGTGCATTCTTTCATCATGAAGGTACTTTGAAGGCTTCAAGGCAAGATGTCTTTCTGTTCTGAATATTCAGAAATGCAAAATGAGTTTTAATGTTGCCACTCTTTAAGTCTGTGAGTCACATGTCAGCACCTACTTTACATCCTATGTGGTGGCCAGCAAACCTCATTCCCACCTGCAGCAGGATTTAATTTCCTAAAATTTTACTTTTACACAAAGGAATCTGAGTTTAAATTTAAATTTTAGTGTTAAGTGCATTCTTGTTCCTGTATGTTAAATTGCCTGTACAGAAAAGACTAATATTTGCCTATCTGCAGTTTCAACATAAATATCAATGATTTTATCTTTTTTTCTGGGATGCTTTGATATATGATGAAGCTGTTTTTCACCTGAGGTTACAGGTGTGTTTACACAAAATCTTTAGCAACTTAAAAAACTTTTTAGCCAAATCAAACACCTGTGTTCTTTAAACCAAATAATGTGTCAATTTTATGACTGGAGCCTTGGATTTTATATTCAAAAAAGAGTGTTGTAGGTCAATAAGAAAGGAATATTTGCATCTGATTGAAATTTATTTAGAACAAAACCAGCAGGAGAATATTTTTTTGCCCAAAAGGGTGCAACAGGCATTGTTATTGAATCTGTAACTGTTCATGTTAGGGACAGCCAGCTCCTCTCAAAAGAGACTCCACTGTGAATATCTGACATATTAATGCTTCTAGTCCCTCTGAGACCTTGCCAGAGCCCCTAAATGTGGTGGTGTCCCCACAGAGGTTTATTTCCTCTTCACTGACATTCCAAAAAGGGGAAGTGGTTATCACATTCATCATGGCTGTGAGCAATAATAAAATCTCACCTTGTTTTGGAAAGAGGAGTGAAGAATTGTCTTGTAAGGCGCAGAGGATTTTTCCCAGGAGTTGTTTCAGGAGGTGGCTGCTCGAAGTCTGCACATCATCTCCAGCATCAGTGCAGGAGGACAGGCCTGTAAGGACATCCTTGCCCTCCAGCACCTTCTCATCCTGAAAAAATGGCAGAAATGAAGGAGTTTCAGTGCTTTGGTGGGCTGGAATGAGGGGTGTGGACCCTCAGTCCAGCACAGAGGCAATGGCAAAGGAGCTGCCCAGCTTTCCACTCTTGTTTCTACAAATTGCAGGTAACACTTTGAGAGCTCTCAGTGGAATTTGAGGAAATTAGTGGTGTGTAAGGTAAAAACATTTAGAGGAACTGTGACTAATACAGGTCAAAGGGAATTGCATAAAACCAAAACAAATAACCCTGGAGTTTTGTTCCTGTGGAGTGACCTGGGGACACTGATTTCTTGGAAACTGTTCCTATATCCCATCCTTATTCAAACAAAGGCTGTAGAGACCTGGCAAAAGAGTGTCTTAAAGAACTTCTCATGGCAAGGTTAGGATTCTGCAAAAGTGAGACAAGCAGCCCCTGACTCCTCATCTTGATTTCTCCTGCAAAAGTAAGGATGAGCCCAAATTGAAATCCCTGTAGCAAGCGGAGTGTGAGGTAATGGAAAGGAACAGATTATGCTGTAAAAATGTGAAGCTTCTGTAACAGACCTTAGGCAAGCCCCAGAAAGCTCTGAATTAGCTGCTGGATGTTTCAGAAATGTCCACATGTACCCAATATTGTCAGGCTCTCGTGCTTGTGAATAGAGTTCCCAAAGCCTCAGCTGTTTATGCTTTCCATGAATGGCAAACAAATGTGCAGCTCTGCTACCCTGAGATCTGAGACTGGCCTGAGCTGCTCAAGATGTCCTGAGCAGGGAACTGTGGGGGAAAGTTGTGAAAATCCTGGGAATAGATGGAGAGATTCATTTCCTTGCAGAATAGGCTTCAAAATACGTAAGGAAAATTCAGGATAATTCCTGTTTGGTGTTCAGAAAGGGCTTGGGAAGACACAACTGCAAGAGAGCATCATCTGCAAAGGACTGGGGGGAAAACTTGGGAAAAAACTCCACTATATTTATGGAATACAATTCATTAAGTTTCAGTCTTTAAGGAGTGTGGGGAGCTGAGCATGGATTTCTCAGTCCTGGGCCCCACGGGAGTGAGGAAAACACTGAAGATTTTGTACAGCAAAAATGAAACAGAGCAGTTTTGCTTTTTCAAACTTAGACTTGCACTCCTTCTTCTTCCTTGTTTTGGAAAGGTGCTGTAGACACTCATGTAACTAATGAAGTGCTGCCTGCTACTGAAATTGCCCTTTGCTTCCTCTGTCAAACTCTTTTATATTCACAACTTTGTTGATACTATTCTGGTGTCAGATGTCCAGGTTTCTGTGTAAAATGTTTGGTTTCGTGAACTTAGGAGGGAATACAAGAAAAAGAATTGGATACAATTGGTAGGAGGATAAAGGAAATATTTCCTGAGATTAAAAAAATGTGCTAGTATAATTTTCATTGAGAAAAAATGTTGCTTTTTTCCTGTTTAAGAATGAAGCCCCCAAAGTTTTACAAAGATGGACTATCCCAGTTAGAGTGTTTTGGTCTTGCTTTGTTGGTGAAGTTGTGATTTTCTTAGATGAAATGTATTTGCTGTCTCTAAATCATTAAACCACCAAAAGCAGAGATTTGTCTGTTTGCAGACCCAGGAAGCCCAATTGAATTTATGAATTTATACTGATTCTGAACTCATTTTACCAGAAAATAATTGCTAACCCAGTCAACATGGACAGGTTTCTTGAACCAAAATTGTCAATTACAAATGCAGACTGGCCATAAAATGGAAAGTGAAAGCATTCTCAGCATTCTGGAGATTTTAGTAATGGCATTTATTCCTTCATCAGCCTGGTACCAGAGAGCACCAAGTGATGTAATGAAGGCTTGGAGAGGAAAAAAAATAAAAAAAGAATAAAATCATTGTGGAATCTGTACAAGTGTTTGAGCCATTTGCCCACTACAATTCAACAACAACAAAAAGAGGAAAGCAGCTACTTGGAATCCATGGAGTCGTGATATTTTCTACTTATTCTGTTTCTGCCACTCTCTTTCTCTCCCCCCTCACCACCTCTTTTTCTATTTCTCCCTCTCTCTCAATCTTTCACATTTACTATTAAATAAAATCCACGCTATTGACTTCATTTGCCCCTTAATTCAGGCAGAGGCACCTCTTTAAAAAATCTTAATAAGTACACATTGAAATAGTAAAAATTAGAAACACTGATGGCAACCCAAAACCTTTCCCCTCACATTTCACCCATGGACAGCCTCTATTGTTTATTTTTCCTGAAGGGTCTTGCTTATACATTGAAAATGCTGGGAAAGAATTGCAATCCTGTTAATACACATTGCCATTGACTGAACAGTTCTGGGCTCGAAATGGTGACTCAGACATACAATATTTATTTGTTCATGTTGACACCAAATATTTCCTCTGGCAGCCAAGAGAGCAACAGTCCAGAACATCTATTCCCCAACTGTGTGGTTGCTTTTGTTTCTGAATTTTTTTTTTTTTTTTTTTTTTTTGCCATGCTTATTTTTTCACAGCTGTTGCTTATAAAGTTGACTTGGATGCTGCTCAATTCAGAGAAATGGCATTTTACAACAATTTATAATTCTTTCATCTTCTGAACACAATGGATTTATTTGTGTTTAGATTGGGCTATTTTATTAATAATCCATGGCTCTGGGCAAAATTAAGATTCCTGGCAGCAACTGTGAGAATTTTTTAGTGTATGTATATACACAATTTTCATCTGTTCTGCTTTTCAATGCATTACCTAACTATTGGAGGCATCAGATTTTCCATGTTCCTGCTTTTCCATTATTTTGTTACCATCTTGCCTAATTCATTCTACCCATGCTAATTCAGCCCTGTTACTTTCCATCATCTTAATTCAATATCAATATAATTCTGATTCATGATGCCATGAATGTTAGAATTGTAACTTTATGGCACAGCTTTATGGGTGATACAGTCACAATTTTTTCTCTTTTTTTTCCTTTTAAGTTCCCTCAATGTATCAACACAACCCCCATGCCTAGAATTTATAATGAATCTGTAAATAAACCCACATTGTTTAGGGTGTTAAATACATCTAAATCCTAAAAAAAAATGCTTCATCTTCTTTGCATAAATGCTGTTTATTATTCCTTCTATTTAAAGTCTCTCTTAAACTGCTTTTCTCTCATGTGTGTTTGAGTTTTGTTGATATTGAGTTAATTAAGATTGTGCCAACATGCAACAAAATGCTTTAGGTAATTTTATTCTGTTATCCACCCTTCAATATTTAAATAAACATCAACTCTGTTGGTGCAGCAAGAGTTGCTCTGAAGGGAGTTTGGATGTTTTCTGTATCACTTTTCATTTTGTTTCAGTTACAACTGGAACAATGGAAAGCTGTGACTTTAATCCATTTATTCCCTTTGGCTACTCCTCTAAAAGATTCCAAGATTCCACACTATAAAGATTGGAGAGAAAATAAGGAAAACTTACTGCATTTTGATGTTTTTTTTCCTTTTTTTTTTTTTTTTTTTTTTTCATTTTTTCATGGGGCTGGGTCTGTTTCAGAAAAAAAACCCATGGCATGGCACTGGGCTATGAATGCTCCAATGAATGTTCACTCTGATTCACAAATTTA